TTTTTTAAATTTTTATTTTTTAGTTGTAGGTTGGACACAATACCCTTATTTTATTTATTTATTTTTATGTGGTACTGAGGCTTAAACCCAGCACTTCACATGCACTAGGCAAGCACTCTACCGACTGCTGAGCCACAACTCCAGCCCCAGTGAAAAATCTTTTAAGCAATCTGTAACCTTACTGTATAATTGATGTTGAGGTTTGTTATCATTTTAATGCAGGACTTACCAACATTTATGGGCTGAACTGACATTAGGGGTGACTGAAAAGTTACTCCACCAGATGCAATTTTCAAATACATAAGAAGAGTGTAGTTGAGTTTGGCTGTTGGTATAGGCACATGACATTCACAACATTCTTGAGCACTGCAGTTGCACTGGACAATCTGAAAACTGCCTCTCTGGGTGGCCAGTGGCAAATCTTCTGTCACTTCAGGCCTACAGTAAAATATAAGGGCTAAAAATTAACATGGATGTGAAAGAACTGGATAGTTTTTAAAAGGAGGACATCAAATCCATTGAGGTAAGCTGTTACTGATGCCAAGTTCAGAGTTTCTGAATTTAAAAAAATACATTATATCAGAAAAACAAAGATAAGGATTACAGCTGATTGTCAGAAGTAACATAAATAAGAAGATAGTGCAGCAACAGTGAAGTACCAAAAGGAAAGGAAAGCTGCAATCCTAAAATCCTAAACCCAGCAAAAATATTTTTCAAAATAAATATTAAGTGAAAGGCTTCCTTTAGATATCCCAAAGCTTAAAGAATCCATAATCACCAGATATGCATGAGGGAAAAAGTATTAAATTCAGTCCTCTGGCAAAAAGAAAATGATAGAGATGGTAATCTGATTTCACATGAAGAAATAAAATTTCACTAAAAGAATAATTATTTATTAGATGTTCAAAGTAAAAATAGCAGCCATGTAGTGTGGGGTTTATACACAGGCAGATGTGAAGTATATGAAATTAATACCAAGTGAGGAAGAGGAGAAATATAAGTATAAATTGTGATGTTTTTATACTATGTATAAAGTGGCATGCTATATCTAGTAATATATCACTTAGACTACAATAAGCTAAGACATATATTATAAATCCTAAGATAACAAATCAAGAAGCTAAAGCTAAGAAGAAACAAAGGAGATAAAGTAGAATCATAAAATAACATCAATCCAAAAGATGGAGTAAAAAGGGGGAAAGGAACAAAGAATAAATAATATATGAAAAGACGTAAGTCTAACATCTCCATAATCACACTAAATATAAATGGAATAGAACTCATAAATGAATATCCCACTTAAAGGTAATGATTATCAAACTGGAT